TCTAGAGCTGAGAACTCCCGGACTTGAGAACAAACGCAAATGCAAAGGTAAAAAGCCTAAGGTATAATTTCTAAAGTTTGTTCTTATAATCATTTGATCTAAGAAGTTTAGAGGTACTTTGACCGAAAGTTTTTGTGTTTTTCCTCGATTTCCATCCTCGAAGAAAAAACGACAAGAACTTGCATAAAAAGTTTGAACAGTACACCTAGGAGAACGAGAGATCTGTGGAATTCGGCGGAGGTACTACTATTTGCGTAGATGAATAATTTTAGATTCCAGTCCAATCAATCTATGTGCAAATGTCTAGAAGCCTACTTGTGGATTTTTATGCTCTATTAAATGGCAGCCCTATGCTCTCCTCAAAATTTTGTATGAATAATCGGACAAAACCAAACAACCATTGTGTGGAAAAATTGTTATTACAAAAAAAAACTAATGAAAAACGATAAATAGCAAAACTACGAAAAAGAAAAAATTGGAGAAAAATTGATCAAACTCACGCTATGACTATCGCATAAGTAATGTGGAACAAGAGGCTAGCTCCATAGATTTTCCAAAAATCTCGAAATTCTTCCTTTCTGTTTTTGTAAAGGATTCTACTGCGATTGGGCAGAAACTTCCACGATGTCAACAGACGGAAGCATTGCCGCATACCACTACCCTGCGACTGCACTAAACTCCGTCGTCTTCTAGAAATAGCAAAATACGACTAAAAAATAAAAAATAAAAGATATCGGGTCGTTGGAAACGCTTGAGTTGGGAGTGTCTATGAAAAATTGAAAAGATTGTGATGTTTATTCACGGTGGTGCATCGAAGACTGAAAAATAAGAAAAACATGTAATGGAACAATGATTAGCAAATGGAAAGTGAGTGATAATTTAGTGAATCTTTAGCTAAAACCGATCTTAAAGCAGATTATGAATTTCGTAATAAACCATACTGAATCCCACAAAGCGATTTTCAAATTAGACTTCCAGATAGTAAATCACTATAGACATTTTCCAAACAGCTCTTTCAAAGTTAAACGGTTCATAACAAGCTCAATAGGTTTTCTTTGTCTTAAGACAGCAAGGACATACAAAATCTAGTGATTACTACGAAAGGAAAGTGAAATGCCTGCTTTCCGACTTAATAGAGATCACCGAGTACTTTGAAAAAATCTCGATATGGCTACAAGAATGCTTAATACGTTGGGAAAATCTGCTAAAAATACATAATAGTACGTTAAAGAGCAAGGATAAACAAAGCAAGAATCGCGCTGATGTAAAATTTTTGCAGCAGCAATTTTCCCCCGCCATAATAACAAGATGGACGTGATTGCGTACACAGCTAAAGCGGATTTATTTTTGAACATCGGGGCTGAAAATGGGATATTGTGAGCTTTGTGGTAGTGTCTATCCAGATGGAGGACAATCACAAACTATTCATGAGGTTGGTTCCAGTCAGTTTCAAACTTTTTAGGCCTTTCTCTCGCTTATTTGGGAGTTAGTCCCTTTTTTAGTCTGGAAAACGGCATCAAAAAGCTGTTGAACGGCACATGCAAGCTGCTGAGCTTCCAAAAAAGACGGTGTTCGTAGCACTGGTGTCAAAAGGAGAAGCAGGCTACAGTTCAGTGGATTCGGACACACTGACTGCGGCCTTCCGCACTGTAAGCGTTTCGTCGCAAGGTTGTTCTTGGTAATTTCGGAATCTGACCAAATTTCAGTTTGGAGAGGTCACTCATGTTTCGTGCGGATTTCTTCAAGACCATGCTTTTGTTGAGTTTGCTACGGAGGATGCTGTTGAGAAGGCCAAAGCGGCTAAATCCCTGAAAATCAATGAAGTGAGCTCATGACAGGCTTTTGCTTTCTCTTCATATTAGTTCAGTCGAAGATTTGACTTCCAGCATCTTACTGGAGTCATCTACGAACGTCGAATCACTTTTCAAGATGAACATCCTTGCTCTTCTTTGGATATTGAAGAGGTAATTGCAACGCTCACATACAATTTTGAATCCTAACATTCTTCATTTCCAATACT